GGGGATTCGCATTATGGTTCTATCGAGATAGGGCAAATGTTCTTGGTTGCTCGTCTAATCTCTCCGTTTGTTGTTTTGAGATCCGCAGCCCGCGCTACTCCGTCATCGCCGGGATATAGTTTAGTGATCCTGCCTAAAGCCCATTGCGTGCAAGGTAGATTTCGTTCTTTGATGAGCACAACGCTGCCGATTGTCAGGTTGGGCGTATCCTTGGTCCATTTGGCGCGTTTTTGGAGTTCGTTTAGGTATTCCAGATGCCAGCGCGCCCAGAAGTCTTGTCGTACCTTGCTTATGTGTTGCCAGGTCGACAGTCGATTTGCTGGAACAGATAGCAATTCGCCCTCGGGAGGGGCCGTCAATGGTCTGCCGATTAAGTAGTGAGCGGGCGTGAGTACATGCAAGTCGTTCGGATCGGAGGAAAGGGACGTCAAGGGTCTGGAGTTTAAAATGCCCTCTATTTCAATGGTAAATGTGTTTAATTCTTCGAATGTAAACAAAGAATCGCCCACCACGCGCTTGAAGTGGTGTTTAAAGAGCTTAACCGTGGACTCCCAAAGCCCGCCGAAATGAGGAGCGCTAGGCGGTATGAAGTGCCACGTGATATGATGATTATTTGAATATCGGTTAATGAGCTCTATGTGTTCACTGGAGTTGAACAAGACGTATAATTCCTTCAATTTATTGTTCGCTCCTACGAAGTTAGTCCCGTTGTCGGAATAGATGTTTTTTGGTAGGCCGCGTCGCGCGACGAATCGTCGTAATGCTGCTATGAAGCCTTCGGAACTTAAATCGCTTACGACTTCCATATGCACAGCCTTTATAGTCATGCATACGAATACGCATACGTAAACCTTGACTCTCGTACGGTTTCGATGTTTTCTCTCTTTCATATGAAAGGGACCGCAGAAATCGATACCGGTATTTGTGAAGGGTATTGTCTCGCATACGCGAGGCGAAGGTAGATTACCCATCTTGTACTCGACCGTCTGAGAATCGAAGCGTAAGCAACGCACGCATGTACGCACAATTTTTCGAACTTGATTTTTGCCATCGAGCAGCCAGTATTTCCGCCTAAGTATATATAGCGTATTTTGTATCCCGGTGTGATAATGACGTTCGTGGATTTCGCGGATGATTTGATCGGTGACGTAAGTCCGGCTAGGGAGTAATATTGGATGTTTTTGTGAAAATGTCAAATTTGAGGATTGGAGACGCCCTCCGACGCGTAGTACGCCGTCTTGGTCAATGAATGGGCTTAAATTGCTTAATTTGCCCCGATACGGATGTTTATCCTTTAGTTTCTTAAGTTCGTCGGAGAAATGAGAAGTTTGAAGTAATTTTAGTATTCGTAACTCCGCCTTATCTATTTCCTTAAGACTCAACGGTCCTCGGTCTGTGTTATTCGGCCGAAAGCGAAGACAATGAGCTATGACTCGACACAGTTTAGAATAGGATGAATATTTTTCTAATATACTGTGATCGATAACGGTCGCGACTAAGCATATATTTTGTTTTAATTCTGGTAATTCGATGGTCTGTAGGATTTGTTTAGGCCAATCGTTATCGTTTTTTGTCAACCACGCGGGACCCGAATGCCATAATTTGTTTTTTAAGAAGGCATGTGGTAACTGACCTCTA